TTGATGTTCCATGGCGACCGCATGTGGGCATCGCACTCAAGATCAGGAGCGGCGGCAAGCAGCTGGTTACTCGTCGTCTCGAAGCACCTGCTCGCCTTGCCCAAGTGATGCGGCCCCGCGCTTTGCCGCAGGAAGGGTCCAAGTCATCGCTTGCCAAAGCCGAGAGAGTCATTCAGTCTGCCGCGGCCGCGGAGCGCCGCTCTAAGCTTTTTCGCAGAATTGTTTAGCGATTGCGCTGTTCAGGGTAAGCATGAGGAAGACACAGCAGCCCCGTCTGATGACGAGTCTTTAATTGATGAGTGGCCCGAGGAAGAAGATCCCAGGAGTCACGCGCCGGATTTCTGTAACAGTTTCTGTTCGTCTGATCAGCCAGGCCAGCCTCCTGCTGTTGATTCCAGTGGGCCCTTGGTCGGTGAGAAGGAAAATGTTGAGCAGTCGTCTGTGCAGATCGAGTTTCAGAGTAGCAGATTGAAATGTCAGGACCCAATTCGGTTGTCCGACGGAGTCGGCCCCCCCCCCTCAGCGATTGCGCGCCCCGTCAGCTCGAAGGAGCGACCCTGGATGATCCTTCTCTCAGCACGGAGCCTGACTTTTACGTGTCTCAGGAATGTTGGCGTGCGAATCGGCCATCCATGTACTTTAAGACGTGCGCGGAAGGAGAAATGCACCCGCTGTTTCGCTCCTCCGTAGCATGTTGGCTCAATCCCAAGCCAATTCCTTTCGTTAGCGCATGGCATTCTACGTGGGTCCGTGGCGTTGGGCAGTCTATATTGGAACATCACGGCGTAGAGCAGCGATCCGGGCCCAGCCGCGGCACAGGTTGCAAATTTGTTATTGAAGAGGTTCGGCAGTCCACCAAGTCACAGCAGGCTCCGCTACGTGATCAAGTGGTGTGCTGGTGGAAGCGTGTGACCACGGTTCTGGGTCAAGCCTTGAAGCATCGGCAGCGTAAGAACGGGATTCGTGAGTTATACAACATTCAGCATATCTGTCGCCAGCTCGTGCACGCTCGGCCTACAGGGGTCCACCGTCTTCTTCGTCCTGGTCGTGACGCGGGGGATAGGAAGTGGGCTACGGTGCTGCTCAACCTAGCATCGCTCGTCGACCCTGTGCTGGAATCGTATAGTGGTCAAGCTTGTCGGATCGCACGTAGAGGTCAACGGCGTGTTGTGCATGAGTCACTGTCTGAGTTTCAAGAGTGGGTTGCACAGCAAGCGGCAGTGGGCCCCCTGCACCGCAGCATGAAAGAGGACCCACTGCCGCCGATGGAGTTATTCGAGGTCGAGGGCTCTGGAGTCACGGTCCACCCCAGGGACATCATCGACGCCAAGGCTCGGCGGCGGCAAGAGCTTTGGGCTCCACATCCAGTTGATAAGGATCGCATGCAACGGGCTTTTGAGACAGCGCGGGCCGCTGCAGAGTTGGAACCAATGGGGCCCATCACGGGGTGGGATGTTCGTAGAGCGGCACACGCCATGAGGGCCAACACTGGCCGGGGAGCAGATCGGATAACCCCGATCGACGTTGAGAGGTTGCCGTCGGAGGCGCTGGTAGAGTTGGCCGAGCTGCTCAACGCCGTAGAGCAGACGTTGGCGTGGCCGCACCAGACCCAGCTCATCATAGGAAAGTTGCTTCCGAAGAAGGTGAGTGGCGACCGCGTGATCGGGTTGGTGTCGTTTTTGGGCCGGTTGTGGTCGCTCATTCGTGAAGGCCATGTTCGACAGTGGTGCAATCTAGTGGGGGCGGATTGGGATGCTGCTATCGGGGGCAACGCGCCACTCCATGAGGGGTTCCATCGGACCCTGCAAGAGGAACATGCAGGGGCCCTGGGAACCCCTCACGAACACGGCCTCATGGATGTGAAAGGATTCTACAACAGTATTGAATGGGATATCTTGACGGATGTTGCATTAAAACTATCGCTCCCTCCAGTCATCCTGTTTCTAGAGCTGTCACAATGTATGGCCCCAAGAGTGGTTGAACAAATGGGAGCTGTTAGCGAGCCGTTGTTGGCAACATGTAGTATTATTCAAGGGTTAAGATCTGGAGCCCGATTTGCGAAGTGCATGACTCATTATGCGATGGCAAAAATCAGTTGTTCACACCGGCATGTTTCGCATAGATTGTGGACAGATGACCCTTCGCAAAGTGTAGCTGGTTCCAGACAAATGGTTGCATCATCTTTGTCAAAATGTTTAGCTGACACCGCCGACGAGTTGAAACAAGGTGAAGTTGCAGATTGTACCTATGTCTTGCGTGGCATGCTCCCACCACGGCGACGCGAAGGAGATCGTGCGACGTATGCGACGTCGTGGCCACGCGCCCCAGGCTCAGCTCCAGGCTGGATTTTGGGGAGTGGACTTGGGCGGAGGACGAAGGGCGGCCAGAGAGGCGCGGACCAAGCAGGGGCTCAAACAGAAGAAGCCCCATGCGAAGGTGGCGCGCTTCGCCAGGGCCTCCAAGCGCTACGAGGCGACGTCCAAGCTCGAGCGACTCGGCGCTCAAGCTGCAGGCACGTACGGGCAGGCCACTCACGGCGCATATGGGCGGAAGCTCCAGCAGTGTCGTCGCGGGCTTGCAGCAGTAAGCAGTGCAGGGGGTAAAGGTATGTGTATCGCGTCGCTTCTGTCGATTCGTGCTCCAGGTCAGGATCCAGGAGTCAAATTTCCTCGTGATGTTATAGCGTCGTGGTTGCAGCAATGGTTCTCTTGCCCACGCATCCGCCCGTCGGTGTGCCGAGCGTGGCCGAAGGTGCTACAACGGATGGAGGCTATGCCCCCGTCTCGGCGATCCAGGTGGGCAAGAGGTCCGATGTCAGCAGTCATCCTTGCCTTGTTGGAACGCGGATGGCACCCCGAGACTCCCACCAAGTGGCACCTGTCAGATGAGGTCGCGGGGGGATTTCCAGAAGAAATGCATCTTGAACAGCAAGCACTTAATAATGTCAAGGCCTTCTTCGATGACTTTGATCCGTCAGCGGCGGTTCAGTACTGGCAGCAGGCTTCTCGACAGTTCTGCGGCAGTGGTTTGCAAGATGGGGTGGGCAACGTTTCTCTGGGATGGCTGCTCAAATATATTGAAGTCTTCCCTCGTGGACGTAGGCTAGCGGAGGTCATGGTCTCCATCAGCGCTGGTGGCTCATGGCCGCGGGAGCGGCGTGCAGCCGCTACAGCCAAGCTGGATATCTGCCCGCTTTGTCCCCGATGTCGGAAAGATGTTGAGCCGGCCTATCATCGCAGCTGGATCTGTGAGAAGAATGTCGAAGCAGAAGCGCATCGTCGGTCAGACGAGCTGCTGCCCGCAGCCGCGCCACAGCACGAGTGTGATCAGGCGTTCTGGCTGCGCGGGCTGATTCCCCGAAGCTGGACGGAAGTCACACCTCCTTGTGCGGCGGAGGCGTGGCTCGGCAGTGGGCTCTTTCGTAATGGAGTTGACGACGGCGCAGCAGGACCAGGTTCAGTTTCACAGCCAGTCGTTATCTTTGGTGATGCTTCGGGTGGTCCTGACTCCAGGGACCCTCGCTTTCGCCGAGTAGGATGCGGTCTGGTGATGGTTAATAGCGAGGAGGATCTGACCATCCAAGGGGTCATCATGGGCCCGCTGTCAGGGAACCAGACGGTGCCCCGCGGTGAGCTGTATATGCTATGGATGGCAATTCGAGTTTCCACAGGCCACCTTGTTTATATCACAGACAACCAGTCAGTTTACAATGGCTGGTACGACAAGCAATTCATGAATCCGAGTGGTGAGCCTGCAGAATTGTGGGCACGCGTTGGAGAAGAGCTGGGTCGCCGACCAGCTGCGCATATCATTGTGTTGTTCGTGAACTCTCCTATGTCGGCCGCAGAGGCGGCAGCAGCGTGTGTATCAAGTTGGCTGGTCTGCGGGAGCGCCATGGCTGACATCGTTGCAGGAGAGGCGGCGAGAATGGCCAGGCTGCCCCAAGTCGATCGCACACGAGTGGCGCAAGTGGAACATCGTGCATTTCTGGTACGAGTGAGGCTGCTACGGGCGGCCATTGACTCGATGGCAGCGGAGGAGGCCCTGGCAAGGGCCCAGCAGGACTGCCGCCGAGGGGATCTGAGTGAGGGAGGGTTCCCTTCTCCTCCTCCTCTTCCTCCCCCTCCTTTGCAGCTCTGCTTGCCGCCGCCGTGCCCCGATGCTGTCTCCATCCTGTCCAGTTCGCACGCGTTGGACGATTCGGGGCGTCGGTGCCGCAGGTGTCGTGGCTCAGCGTCGATCGCCGAGCGTCGGAAGTGGAGAAGGTCACCGTGTTTCAAACTTGTGGCCTTGGGCTGTGCGTTGCGAGCCCTTCCCCAGGGGGCGGAGTTGCACATCGCTGGGGGTGGGTGCACAGGTCTCACAAGCTGAGGTATCATCAGGACGTCAATGTATGGTTCTGTGCGGTGTGTGGCATATTTGCAGATCAGCAGTTGCTTGGGTTGGGGAAGCAGTGTGTGTATAAGACCACCCCGACCCGAGCTGGCTACCTAGCCAGAATTAAAGTTTCGTTGTGGCCCAAGGCCCTCACGGAGGCCCAGCGGGCCAAGAGAGTCCAGAAAGGGCTTCCCATTTAAGGCGTCAGAGGTTGGACATCGTCCAGGGACTCTTACTCATACTCTTACTCTTACTCTTACTCCTCCTCCTCCTCCTCCTCCTCCTCCTCCTCCTCCTCCTCCTCTCTCCTCCTCCTCTCCTCCTCCTCCTCCTCCTCCTCGCCCTCCTCCCAATCCTCCCCCAACTCCTCCTCCTCCTCTTCCTCCTCCTCCTCCTCCTCCTCCTCCTCCTCCTCCTCCTCCCCTCTCCTCCTCCTCCCCCCTCCTCCTCCTCCTCCTCCTCCCCTCCTCCTCCTCCTCCTCCTCCTCCTCCTCCTCCTCCTCCTCCTCCTCCTCTTCCTCCTCATCCTCCTCCTCCCCCTCAGAAGGCCCTAGGCCTTCCGAGCTTTCTGAGAAGGCCCGCCCCCTATGATTTCCCCCCTGGGTTCGCCGCCGAACCTTGGCCTCGTACATCATACCATCCTCTGGGAACTTGGCGAGCACTTCGTCGCCCTCCTTGTAGTCCCGCTTCACCCTCTGCCTCTTCATGCTCTCCCAATGCAGGTCTGCTGTCTCGGGGCCCCCGTCTGGGTCGTCCCACTTGACACGGAACTTGTCCTCCGCGAGAACCTCCGCCACAACGCCAGGGTACCAGCGCTCGTCTTCCGGAGAAATGGCCTTGCAATCGTCGCCCACCTTTCGGCGACTCCGAAGGGTGTGGTTTGCAACGGGTGTGGTTTGCAACGCGCACCCTGGGGGGTGGGCGAGGACCTCGACAGAGTTTCCCGCCGCGCCCCGAGGAGGCCCGAGGAGGGCAACGCGGTGCCCCCCAAACCCCAACGACACAGATCGCAAACCACACCCTGGCGTAAGCACACCCTTTGTGGTCGCCGACCCCTGGTCACGTCACGATTCGCGCCGGCGGCGCCGTCTGGGAATTTGCCAGTCCTCAGCATTCCCAGACAGAGCCGGCGCGCATCGTGACGGTACTGGCCCCCTATCCGCTTCCCCCCTCCCCCCGACACGCCCGCTATCGGCAGGGGGTGAAGCAATTGTCGCGTTTCAGCGTCTGGAACCTTGTAGTCCTTGTAGAAAATCATTTTCTTGATGAACTCTTCCGAGAGGGTGTTTGTCTCCTGGGGATACCAAAAAGTACCAATACCGCCACTCCCTGGACCTCTCCCGGGGTGCGTTCTGGCCAGAAGTTGGAGGCGAATCCAGCGGTGGCGACGAGGACCTCCAAGGAGGCCCAGACAGGGGAGAACGGGCGAAGGGTGGCGGTATCGGTACCTTTTCCTCCACTGATCTCCGGCCCCCCGTCCGGATCGTCCCAAGCGATCACCCAGTCGCTGCCACTGGCTTCCTTGACCCTGCCCGGGTACCACCCCTCGTCGTCCGGAGACTGCGCCTTCACCTTCCGGGCGGCGCCAGGGGGGCGGGGCACCACTGAAGGGGGTCGCCGTCTCCTCCAGGAAGCGGGCCCCCCTGGGCCTTTCTTCCAGGACCTCCCAGGGCTGCGGAAGATGCGCAGAAGGCACCCAAACCTCCTCCTCCTCCTCCTCCTCCTCCTCCTCCTCCTCCTCCTCCTTGTTCTTCATCATCATCGTCAGCCGCATCATCATTATCCTCCTCCTCGTCCTCCTCCTCCTTGTCCTTCTTCTTCTTCTTCTTCTTCTTCATCATCATCATCATCATCATCATCATCATCGTAGTCATCATCATCATCATCATCATCATCATCATCATCATCATCATCATCATCAGCATCATCATCATCATCATCTTCATCATCATCATCATCAGCAGCACCATCATCATCGTCATGAGCATCAGCAGCATCACCATCATCGTCATCACCAGCATCATCAGCAGCATTCTCATCACCATCATCATCATCACCACCACGACCACCACCATCATCATCAGCATCATAGTCAGCATCATCATCATCATAATCATCATCATCATCATCATCGTCACCATCGTCATCATCATCAACATCATCATAAGCATCATCAGCATTATCATGATCAGCTTCATAATCACCATCATCATCATCATCATCATCATCATCATCATCATCATTATGCTCAGCATCATCGTCATCATCATCACCATCATCATCATCATCATCATCATAATCATCATAATCATCATCAGCATGTTCAGCATCATCAGCATCATCATCATTATCATCAACATCATCAGCATCATCAGCATCACCATCATCATCTTCATCAGCAGCAGCAGCATAAGCATCATCATCACCATCATCATCGCCATCAGCATCGTCATCATCATCAGCATCGTCATCAACATCATCAGCAGAATCAGCATCATCGCCATCAGCATCATCATACTCAGCATCATCATCATCATCATCATCATCACCATCATGACCATCATCATCATCATCATCATCATCATCATCGTCAGCATTACCATCATTATCACCATCATCAGCATCACCATCATCATGAGCAGCATCAACATCAGCATCAGCATCATCATCCTAATCATCAGCATCAGCATCAGCATCATCAGCAGCATCATCAGCAGCATAATCAGCATCATTATCAGCCTCAGCATCAGCATCGTCAGCATCATCATCATCATCAGCATGTTCAGCATCACCATCAGCAGCAGCATAATCAGCATCAGCATCATCATCAGCATCATCAGCATTAGCATCATCATGAGCAGCATCATCATCGTCATCATCATCATCATCATCAGCATCAGCATCAGCATCATCATCATCATCATCATCATCACCATCATCACCATCATCATCATCATCATCATCATCATCATCATCATCATCATCATCAGCATCAACATCAGCATCAGCATCACCCCCCTACCCTAGCCCCCCGACGTAATGATGTTTTCGCAACGTCGACCGCCTGAGGCCTCGACCCACTCCCCAGTGCTGGCTCCGCACCCTGAGTCGCTCCTTGAAGCTCCCGGGGCCCGGCGGGGGCTCCCCGGGGCCGAGAATAGCCAAAAGTCGTCCGCCGTACCCCTGTCCACGGCGCGAGGATGCCAGCCTGGTGGACCCCCCCCCCCTGGAGGCACTGCCCGAGCCTTGCACCCCACCTCCAGCGTCGTGTCCTCGTGGGCAGGAAACATATCCGAGGCTGTGGCCTCGCGGGCCTGGGCACCGCGGCCGCGACCCTGCGCGTGCGGGGCGCTCTTCCGCGGATGCCCCGCGCGGAACGTATCCGTGCGGCCACGCACGCGTCGGTGGCAACTCCTAAGAGCCTCCCGTGCCAGCTTGCTGGCTCTTGCGAATCAACGCTATACGACGCGAGTCGACACCAAATCGGTGCTAATCGACGCTCACTCGGCGCTCCCCCATCGATCGACTGACGCCAGCGCACGCTAAGGCACTCTGCTGACGGCACTGCGAGGCCACACAGGGCTCCCATGGCTGGCCTGCCACCGAGGTACACGCGGGATCGCGGCACGGAACCTAGACCGCGAGGGCGCGGATACAGTCGGGGCGCTGCAGAAGGAACCCTTTTCGTTTGGGAGGGGCTCGGTGTTCCGTGATTGCTACACGGCTTGCCTCGGGTTTTCCTCATGGTTTCGATGGGAAATCGAAGTTCAACTTATGGAAAAAAGGGGCCTCGTTCCTTATTTAGGGTTCCTTAGGTCAACGCCCCGACTGTACGGACATGTTCGCCGCTCGTGATGTCCGGACGGGCGGCCCTCGAGACGAGCGCGCGGGCGCCGCGCGCCCTGCTGGGCCGGGCGGCCCTCGGGCTCTGCGCCCGCGGGCCCGCGGACAGGAAGCCGAGGGGGCCCTGCGCCAGCCAGCACGCGGCGGCCAGCGCGATGGCGGCCGCGAGGCAGGAGCCCCGGTTTCGACGGCCGGGCGCCGCCGAGGCCATCCTTTCGAGAGCGAGCCGCGGGGTCGAAGCAAGGGCTTCCTCCGGCTGACGCTCTGGCGGAGCCAAGGGAAGGCTCGGCTGAGCCAAAACGGCCGAGGCGTGCGCGAGGGAATGCGCGGGCGGCCACATCGGCACCCCGTGCTCGCCCAGAGCACTTATGCCGTGTGTGCGTGTGCGCGTGTTTGTGCGTATGCGTGTGCGTGTGCGTGTGCGTGTGCGTGTGCGTGTGCGTGTGCGTGTGTGTGTGTGTGTGTGCGTGCGTGCGTGCGTGCGTGCGTGCGTGCGTGCGTGCGTGTGCGTGTGCGTGTGTGTGTGTGTGTGTGTGTGTGCGTGTGTGTGTGTGTGCGTGTGTGTGTGTGTGTGTGTGCGTGTGTGTGCGTGTGTGTATGTGCGTGTGTGTGTGTGTGCGTGTGTGTTTGTGTGTGCGTGAGTGTGTGTGTGTGTGTGTGTGTGAGCGTGTGCGTGTGTGCGTGTGTGCGTGTGTGCGTGTGCGCGTGTGTGTGCGTGTGTGCGTGTGTGCGTGTGTGTGTGTGTAGCGATGCCCTTCCTCTGCTGAAAAAGCTCCTCTTAAACCCAAGGCTGATGCACTTTTCCGGGCTCACCACTGCCTCTGCGAACATCTGACAACACGAGGGCGGCCTCAGTTGGGGCCGGCCTCGACTAGCCAAGGGTGGGCGGGCACGGGGGAGCTTGAAGCCAGAGCCCCCGCGCGTCGAGGAATCACTGCAATCAGCGATGCCCTTCCTCTGCTGAAAAAGCTCCTCTTAAACCCAAGGCCGATGCACTTTTCCGGGCTCACCACTGCCTCTGCAAACATCTGACAACACGAGGGCGGCCTCAGTTGGGGCCGGCCTCGACTAGCCAAAACCGCTCATGGTGGAAGAAGGGGCGGAGGAGGGAGGAGCGAAGCGGGCACCGAAGAGCTCTGTTGGCAGCGGCGGCGGCACACGAAGACGGTGACCGGAAGGGCGGGGGTCGACGTCGCTCGGCCTCGGCAAACGACTCGAGGACAGAAGCTGCCAGGTGGCCTCGAAAAGGAGGTCGCCGGCAGCCTCGGCGAAAAGCCGGACCTTGCTACGGAGGGGGCTCGGGAGGTCCGCGAGGAGCGTACTAGCCCCGACCTCTTGGATGTAAATCCGCCGACCCCTTGTGGGTCTCTAGGCGCGTGAGATAATTCCCCCCCCCTAACACCCCCCCTGGGACCCCAAACCGGAGATTCGACCCCCCCCCCCCCGGCCCACGACGAGCGCATCACGGGGCTCTTTTGGGCCCAACAGGGGATCAAGACGGGCCAAGAAGGCCCCAAGACTCCTCGAAGACGGCTCACGAGAGCTCCGAGGCGCCAAACGAGCGCTCCCAGACGCCCAAGATGGCCCTAAGACGAGCCTAGAGGCCTCCAAGACGGCCCAAGAGGCCGCCAAGAACAGTCCTCAGAAGGGCCGAAGCGCCGAAAATCGTCAAATTCCTATGGGAAAACGGACATTTAGATCATATACTACTTGTCGGCCTTCACGGCGTTGAAACCGGTCCCAGAGCACCCCAAGACCGCCCCAAGAGGCCCCCAAGAGGCGCCCAAGTCGGCCCAAGAGGGCGCCAAAACGGCCCAAGAGGCTCCCAAGACAGCCCAAGAGGGCCCCAAGACGGCCCCAAGAGGTGCCCAAGAGGGGGAACCCGAACCGACAATCCGAGCCTTCCGCCCCAAGACGGCCCCAGAAGGCCCCAAGAGGCCCCACGAGGCCCCCAAGACGCCCACAAGAGGCCCCAAGAGGCCCCCAAGAGGCTCCAAAACCGCCTCAAAACGGCCCCCAAGAGGCTTCGAAACTGCCTCCAAGAGTCCCGCGAGAAGCGCGCCAAGAGATCCCAACGATCACCGCACAAGTCTCATATCAACAACCCAGGCACGGTGGCGGGGTTGCGTTCGCGCACAAAAAAGGATTCGCGCTCTCGAGGCCAAGATTGCTCCAAGACGGCCCAGGATGGCTCCAAAACGGCCCAAGATGGCTCCAAGACGGCCGAAGACAGATCGAAGACGGCCCAAGATGGCCTCAAGATGGCCTACAAGGCTTTCACTATCGCCCACGAACTCTCCAAGAAGACCCCCAGGACATCTGAAAGAGGCGCACATTACGCATTTCATTACATTTCCATTGCGTTGTTGAACATGTTTGCACTTGTTGCCTTTCCCGGCTTCCGTCGGCTCACGT